GCAAGACACCGCGACTTTGCAGGCGGAAAGCTCTCGCTGCTGGGCTATCGCTACAGCGCAGAGCCCTCTAAGATTCTGAGACGGCAAAGGTGAGCATGGGCCGCAAAGCGGGCATGCCAACCACCAGGCCACCGTCTGTGGGCGATGTAGGCACCCTCAGCACACGCCCGGGCACCAACAATGCCTCCCTGCGCATCAGGGATGCGCTGGAGCCTCTAAGGGCCTGCAAGGAGGAGCCCTGCTGCAGGCTGGGATGGATCGAGCGCCGTGCAGGTGCGGATGCAGTGGCCAAGCCCACAGGCGCGACTTGGCATCGAGTCTTGAGGAGCCTGCCTACAGGAGATGCTCGGATGCTCGGGGCCTCGGCGCTTCCCTGCGTCTCGCGCAAGGGCCGGAACTTGCCGAAGAGGCTCAGACCCGGGTCTTTGTCATCTTTTGGATGCTTTTGGACGGTGCGAGCGCGAGGGAAAGCAAAGGCACGGCTCTCCGAGTCCGGCGAGTCCTAGTCTACTTGTCTACTTTAACCACCCCGCACCGGGCCCCGGATTCAACCCCCTTTGCCTGGACACCCGCGCAAAGCTCAGCCGAGCGCAGCAAGCAGAAGTCGCAGCTAGTGCGCCCGGGCCAGCAAGCGGAGTCCCTGCACAAACTTGGAACGCACACCTCAAAATCAGAACAGCACCTATGCCCGCCGTGCCTACAGCGCGGCCTGAGCTGCTTGAGCTTGGCACTAAACGGGGCCGGGGCCGGCGAAAGGCAGTGGACTACATCCGCAATACGATGTCACTGTGGCTGACTCCCACACTTCGAGATCGTTTGGTGCTACAATGATGCGGCAGCCTTAAAGTGCGCCGGTGGAGTCCGCAGACGTGGAGGAAGTCAGTGGCATCCTCGTATTGGCAAGCGGCTTTAGCACAGTGACGAGTGCAAGCGGCACGAGCAGCGCAGGCGGCAAAGGGAGGCTCCATAGCCTCCAAAAACCGCAGAGGACACCGAACCTTGACCATCCCTGGGCCAACAGCTGGCAGCTCTTATTACGACTTCTCCTTGCTCTAGGTGATATAAGGTTCATGAAGCTGTTCAGCGCGCATAGCGCGCCCGCAGTCTGGAGCTTTCACTTGATCAGGCAGGCCTGTAGAGACGTTGACTGGAGGAAGTAAAGCCCGGACTCGAGCACAGGAGCCCCCAGCACACAGTCATGTGGGAGCGAGGCTCTGATATCTGATGGGGCGGCGAATCGGAGATTCCGGAGGGGCTGAAAGCCGGGGTCGAAAGCTTCGCTTACCGCATGTTGAGCCGACGGCAGACGGATGCTGGGGGGCTTTTGTGGATCCTACATAGGCAGCATGCTCGCCATCGTCGAGCTCAACAGTCATGCCCTCCGACCTCCGGACGATCTCATCTTAAAGTCTTGCCTTGAATCAGTAGTGCAGTAAGGCTCTGCGTTCTCCTGGGCGGTCGCAACCAAGTTGGCGCGGTTACGCGGGCTCTTGAAAGGGCGCTGCGCAACATTGCCTTTGCGAATGCAGGGGCATGCTGATCATGCTATCGCCGCTTGGGTAAGCGTGCGAGCTGCCAGCTCACGCTGCGTGGGACACTGCTAGGCAGCTTGCGCGGTGCGAAACATTAAGCGGAGCTGTCCGTGTGGCGGCTCTTCTGCATGATGGGCGTTAGAGCGAGGCACTGGACGGAGACGTCTCAAGATGGTCTCGCTAGCGTGAGACAGCGTGCCCTGATCTGAAAGCCGTTCAAAAAGGTCACTCCTTCCCAACGGCTGGGCACAGGCATCTGGCCGCAGCCACAAGAAGAGCCCGGCTTCACGATCGGGCAGGCTTGCCATTCCATCGCCCGTCTCGTGCGCTCGCCATGGAGGTGAGAGGGCAAGGCAAAGCTTGCCTGTTCAACTGCAAGGCCGTGACAAACCTGATATAAGGTTCGTGAAGCAGGCCTTTGAAGACCCCGACTGGAGGAAGTAGAGCCCCGGACTCGGACGTCATGCGATGGTGAGGCTCTGGTACGGCGCTCGCACTGCGGCGAGGGCGGAGAACTCGGAGAGTCGAAGACGCCGAAAGCGTCAGGGCTCGAAAGCTTCGCCTGTCTTTGCCCGGCACAAGGCGTGGTTCATGCGGACTTCAGATGTTTGAGCCGACGACCGACGGATGTTCAGGGCCTTTGTGGATTCCACATAGGCAGCTTGCTCGCCATCGTCGAGCCCAACGATCATGCCTCTGGCTTCCGGCTGGGAAGTGGCAAGTTCTCACTAAACTTGCCAGAAGCCAGGAGAAGTGTGCACCTCAAGCCATGGGTGAGGCGAGAGGCCCGAGGGCCTGAATTCCGCACGTAGCCTACATGCGCGAACATCCATGAGCTCCCTTGCTGCTGTGCTACTTCAGTTTTCCGGCGATGCACTGGATGCAACCTGACCGTTTCGCTAGTCTGAGAAAAGGCGTGCCGTGATCCGAAATCTGTCTCTTGTGAAACTGCTTCCCAACACGGTTGCGCACACGAATCTGGCCAGCCGCCGTCAGGCCACAGCATAAGAGCTCGGCTTCGCAATCGGGCCGTCATGCAGTGGCATCGCTCGACTTAGGCGCTCACTGTTGGTGTGACAGGGCAATACTTGCCCGGTCAGTGGGCAAGGGACGGCCTACAGTCCCAGACGAGGGCAAGCGGCTCTCTAGCGGCTCACACGTGCTGAACACGCAAGTCCGCTCCCAATTGAAGCATTGTACGCCTATCTTCTTTGGATAAGCTGCTGCACGAAACTTGCAGCACGCAAGGCACGATTGACTGGAGGGGGGGTAGGCTCACCTCAGCATCAGCCGATTTAAATGGCAATGGCTAGACTCAGTCAAAATATGAAACTTCCTGAGCCTCGGACGGGTCCCAGCCATGGCGAGAGGGCAAGGGATTCTTGACGTGGCCATGTCAGCCGGCAAATACTGTCTCTTGATATCTCTTCATATCGCAATCTGCAAAACTTCTGCAATCTCGCCAAGACCTTGTGCACACGCCGTACATGTTCGGGTCCTGTACTTAAACGACGTTAAGCTCATGCTCAGCCGGCTGTGTCCTGAAGCTTTGCAAGCGCCCTCAAACGATCTCAAATGGACTCTGATCGCTTGAGCCATGAAGAGCACAATATTTGGATGTGCCGTCTGGTTTGGAGAGCTGCAATTGTCAGGCGTGTGCCAACGACATCCTACGGGCGTAGGTCATCAGGGTCATCAGGTAACAACACCACCCCCCCCCCCCCCTTGTCCCAGGAGGCAGTCGACGCTTTGTCTGGCCTCTACATGAAACTTCAAAACCCCTGGCCCTGAAACGGAAGCCAACACTCAGGATCAGACGATTCAGCAAACGACTGCGGTTTTCAGAAAATTTCAGGGAGCTAACAACACTCAGACGTAACGCGTTTCATTGCATTTCGTGTTGCCTTTGATGCAAAGGTATCCAAAGGATGTAGCATCCGGCCAAAAACCCATCGACCCTGCGGCGCGAGAATCTTGAACACCCTTGCATCAGTGTTTCAGATTCGAGAGCTTTGGGGTTGTAAGGAGCTCGAAGGCTGAAGCAACGGTTCTGCATCCAATCAGACAAAGAGCCGATTCGTATATCAACTGCTTCAAGGGAGTTGTCGACTTTGTGCGATGCGGCCTACTAGAGGACACATAGGAGGTCTCCTCCAAGGCTATACAGGCATTTTACAACGGATTGAGGGCGAGGCTACCAAAACACTTGTGCGGGAATAGCTGGCAACTAGACTGTCCAAACCCAGCCCTGAGGAACACAGAAAACCCAACAACGGTAGCAGCAGGAAATCCTCCCTGCCTGCAGCCTCGTTGCCTCTTGTGTCTCTTGCGAGACCTGAACCTTAGGTCAGGTGTCAATAGCATTACAATGCATTACACATATAACTTCTGTTCGTAGCAATTGCCCCGCCCTTCGCCATACCCACCCAGGCAATGTGCAGCGGCGAGTTGCCTGTGAGTTCTGCCTGGAGTACCTCCGGGTAGATCCGCCGAAGCCCACCGTGTCGAGGGGGGGTGTAGAAGTTCAAGACCTGTGCGTCATCCTGTGAGGGTGCGACACGGTGTGAGTTTTGTAGTTTTGTGTGCATGGCTTGGAGTCTGCTCAGCTTCTTGCAGTTTTTCGTAGTGCCGAAGTGTGTTCAGTGACGTAGGAACGTTTTGCCCCATAGGGAATTGCTCTCGCCGTGTTCTGTGACACTGGAGAGCAGTTTCGGAGGTCTTTTAAGTCGAGTCTTTAGTTGGAGAGTGTGTGGAGCCTCTCTGGCTAAGTGCAGCTTTGACACGAAAGTGTTTGAAGAGCCATTAACCATGTTTTCCTTTGGCTCAAGAACCTGGAGTGCACAAGCGGATGCCCTTGTTGCGTCGGGAAAGGGGGGGGGGGGGGTGGTTGTCGCCGAACCGATCCTTCTGTTTCAAGCTTGCGTCGCACCTGGGCCTCCCGGCGCCTACGACAAGCCACTACTTTTGGACCATTTCGCGGTTCTTGGCGTCTCTGAAATGGCGCTCCTGTCTCGGTCCCGTGCGCGTGCTCCCCGGCTCCACCGAACCGTCCCCGCCTTGGACCTTACTGCTCTCTACCGGGTCTTGGGGTGCTGCCAAACACAAACGGTCCCCACTACCCAGCAAGGCTATTTTCCAACTGCATGGCGAGCGCACTTTGCAGCCCATAGCAAGCAGGCATCCCTTACGTTGTGCGCGGCGCCCGAACCCACCGGCCTCGCAATGTGCTCTTGGCACATGCCAGGTGACGTTCGCAACTAGAAGCATGCCGCATGGGGCCCGGCACAGCACCACATCCTGACAAGTACAGGGCTGGGAAGCATAGCGTCGGCATCTGGCCACGGTTGAGGTCGTCAGGCTGAGTCCTCTTGTCTGGTCGCACAAGTGAAGGGACGGCAAGCGAGGGAGTGTGACACAGCCCTCTTTATCGTGCACCCGATCTCATGGGAAGAGGGCAAGATTCTTAAGATGACAAGTTACGTGACTCTGGACGGTCCAAGCACGGGCTGCCTCCGAGAGGGGATGCGCGCGAGCCATATGGCAGTCATATGTCGAACATGGCTCACACGGCAAGTGACGCTTTGTGGAGGGCATGCTCAGAACTGCAGTGGGCCGTCCTCCGTACAGCTCACAGCCGCCCAGACCTCCCAGGCACCGTTTCCGGGCGTTTTTGTGGCAGCGGCCGCAAAAAGGCAAGGCGGCGGAAGGGTAAACTGGGTGAACATGCCGGGCTGGGCTGGAAACCATCGCGTCCTCCCTCCTGCACCTTCATGGGTCTTGCAGCTTGAAGCTCTTGTTGCCGGGTTTGCTTAAGTTTCAACTAGGAGGGAATCAAAGTGCGCAGCCTCCGCACGCCCGAGTCTGCATGCTTTGGCAAACCGAAGGCCATCCGTCACTGTGTGAATCCTTGACAAGGAAAACTGCATCAGCGATGTGCCAGGGATCTGCCCTGCAGCCAGTGAAGGCGATTATGGGGCACCCGGCATCTGCGGCTCCAGGCAGTGTTGCGCCTGCCCGAAGGGTGCCCGAGGCACAGCACGGACGGATGCAATCCACCAGCACCCAGAATCCTTAGAACCGGCGCTTCACGAGTTGGCGCCTTAGTTGGGCTCTTCGCTCTGCGGGGGCACTAGTCTCCCTCGCACGACATCGACACACACACACACACACATACACGAATGCCTAAGGTGTTTTCACACGGGCACATGGCACGCATCATGCTCTTTAAGTACTTGCCTCAAGCAGGACATGATTCGAGGCTTTCTCGCAGCACGGACAACAAGGGCGCTGGCGGTGCCAGCACTTGCTGACAGACTGCGCAAGGCTACACTTCCACAACAAAGGCCAACATCAAGAAAACTTCCAGGAAATGCCACCTGACCTGGACTGCATGATTCAAGACAATGTCGCATCTGTCCAAAAGCCGCGCGGCTCAGCTTTTCGAAAAGCCAAGTTCGGTCATGCTATGAAGGGGAGCCTGACTCCATGTGCCACTCGCAAGCGAACATCCTGCTGTTTACACACTTGCCTGCTGCTTGAAGCAGGACAAGTTGATTCGAGGCTTTGTCGTTGCACCGCCACCTGCTGACAGACTGCACAATGCTACACTGGCAAGGCCAGCGTCAAGTAAACTTCCAGGCAATGCCAGCTGTCTTGGACTGTATAATTCAGCACAACGTCGCGACTGTCCAACAGCTTGACTGCGCAACTCTTCGAAAAGCCAAATCCGGACACGCTGTGCAGAGAAGCCTGACTCTGCATGCCATTCACGAACGAACATCCTGGTGTTGACACACCTGCCTATGGGCCTACTTGCCGGGCCGAATGCTTGCTTCAAGCGGAACGAAGCGCTTCGAGATGCTTCGAGGCTTCGACGGTGCGCCGACACCAAGGGATCGGGCGGTGTCAGCACTTACTGCCAGACTGTGCAAAGTTACACCGACCAGGCCGGCGTCAAGCAAAACTCCAGGCAATTCAACACAATGCTGCGCGTGTCCAAAAGCCACATCGCGCAATTCATAGAAAAGCCAAGTCCGGACGCGTTTTGGGGAGAAGCCTGACTCCAGGCGCCATCCACATGCCAAGCCACACATCTTGCTCTTTGCGCAGCTGCCTTTGGTCCGATGCCTCAAGCAGGACATGATACCAGGCTGCCTCAAGGCACCAATGCTGACAATCGGCGGTAGCATGCGCAGTGGTGCTGCACTGAGAAGAAAGCCAACGTCTAGCAAACTGCCCAGCAATGCAACCTGTCCCGGGTTGGATGATTCAACACAGTTGCGGCTTGCGCGTCGGCCCGACTTCCCAAACGACATTCCGAAAAGCTTCGTGTGGTCTTCGAATCTCATGTGACTCATGCTCCTCTGGCACATCCTCTGGCGGGTCAGGAAACGATCCTCGAGACTCTCGAGACTCGAGCTGCTGCTGAGCCAATGTGCTTGCGACGGCTTCGGAAGGCATGCGCCTTCAGCTTCAATGGCGAAATTGAACGATAGAAGCCGTCGTGGAGGCGAGCCCAAAGCCGCACAGTCGGAGCCTTGCTGCTGCCCTCTTACACCCCCTTGCGCCCGCTCGCAGAAGCAGGACGTGCTTGGAGGCTTTGCCGCGCAGCTCGCGCTGCGGGGGATTCCGGGGGATGGCGGACGCCAGGAATGGCTGGCAGAAGGTCACGACCTGCCATGCTGCATGGAGTGTACTACAGTCTACAGGATACTACAGGCCGATGTCATACAAACCGCCAAGCAAAGCACCGTGTCCCGGACTGGATGATGCCCAGCCGCGGCGCCTCGTCCTTCCAGCCGCTATGTGCGGAATCACACATGCTCCCATGCTCCTTTCGCACGAGCAGCAGGTCGCAGCGGCCTTCTCCAGGAGCTCATGAGCCTTCTAAAAGAAAACTGCAAGCAATCCTGACTTGGAGCCCTCGACCTGCGCAAACAGCAGCACGGCGTGCTCTGGACGCAAGATGGCACCGGGGGGAGGGTTCGGAGTCACAGAGCATCACCAAAAAGACATTCAAAAAGACATTCAACTCCAAGGCTCGAGATCTCGAAAAGCTGGCAGTCTACACTGTCCGCACCCGAGCTTCGGGGATCCACGCAACCGACAAGTGTCGAACGAAGGGCCTGTGCCGAGCGGAAACCTGAGCTCGATCTTCGTGCTCCACCGGGCTCCACCTCTTTAGTCCAAAGAGGTCCAGACCAAAATCCGACGCAGCTGATCAAGGAGGGGTGTTCCAGGTCTGTGGGGCTTGCCTGCCTACAGACCCTCAAAGCCACATGTGTCGTGCGAGCAGAGTCTCCCAGACCGACTTCTTCGGATGGCCGGCCTGATCCAAGCGAAGTCAGCAACGCGTAGCCAAGACGGACGTCTCGACCCCCCGTCAGCTTCTGCATGTAGGTGGAGCCACAATGACCTGCCCTCCCCAACCCCAAGACCTACTTGAGAGCAGGGCAAGGAAAGATACGAAAGCTAAGGCCCCGAAAGATGGCGCGGCCGGTGTTTCTCGGCAGCCAGGGCTTATACGTGCAGTTAATCTAGAACTCCACCGGACTTCTTTAGTCCAAAGAGGCGTGCCACCAAATCCGACACAGATCAAGGAGGGTGGTTCAAGGACTGTGGGACCTTGTCTGCCTGCAGATCCGCAAAAAGAACAATGTGACACGTGAGCATATATGTCTGGGATTTCTTCGCATGGCGGGCGTGATCCGAGCGAAATCAGCAGCGAGTCGCCAAGACCGATTTCCTCATCGGATTCCGCATGTAGCTGGAGCCAGAGTGACCTCACCTGCCCAAGACCTATTCTGTGATTAAGCCGAGGAACTTTTTTTCGCTACGGGAAAAGAGCCCCTCTGCATGTCGGTGACGGAACCCATCCGTATGTCGGGGACGGAAGTGCCATGCGGCGTCGCCGCGTGGACGTGCAGACTTCTTTTGCAGTGGGGAGGGCCGCGTGGAGGGGCAAGCGTTTTGCGGGCAGGCGCCTCGCGGAGACGCCGCACCTCATGCTGGCATGCATTCAGGAGCGCAGAGTCTGCGGCCTCGCAAGCGAGGGCTCTTGGCCCAGCTCGCAGGAAATGGAGAAGGCGAGCGACTGCTGTCCTTGCACCCCAGCTGGGAAGGGGCTCAGGGCGTGCGGCACATGGGCCAGCCGCGGCTTGTGTCGTCATGGGGATTCATGGATTGCGTGAAAGCTGTCCCTCCGCTTCTGCACTGAGCTCAGGCTGTAGCTGGCACCAGAGTGTTTTTGTGCACGCAAGGATGTGAACGTGTCCCCCATTGTGGGCCCTTGCTCTATAGGCAAAATGCATCACTTACGTACATACTGCATGTCAGCGGAGGCTTAGTTGGCGGCCGTGCACACCCAAAAGGCAATGTTGCAACTTGGTCTCTGCATCGCCGCAGCTCTGGTTTGCGAAGCATGGGTCCTTCAAAAGCAAGGGGCTGTGCTTCTGACCCCAGCTAGAGGGACTCCAGCCACTGGGGCTGCATTCCCCATGAAAAAAATCGTCTGAGCCCCCAGGGAAGCGATCTGCGGTTCAGGCCAAGGGTGGGTCGAGTCCCTGAAAACATCTGAAAATCTCGTCGTCTCAAGGCACGGCCAGGAGGTGCGTGCTGTGGGCGTGCAAGGTTGCGAGCTTCGAGCTCAGGATGACTGCGGCAGAGGTACAGAACGGACACACGGCACAGGAAAGGCGAAGGATGACATGCACCCAAGCCTCCCACAAGCCTGGCCCTACGAGCACTGCAGAGTTTCTTTTCAACAGCTCGAACCAAGGCCCCGAGACACGGATCCTCTTCCAGCTCCTGCGTGAGAGATCACGCGGCAAGCGGTCTGATGGTGCGAGTACGGGGAGAGTGCTGCTCGCAATGACTCTGCGTGGCTGCGGTGCGACCAGGCAACATGATGTCGGCCCGGGTCTGGAAGACACTGGCACGCTGCCTCTGGTTGCGGCGCAAGTCGTTCAACACATGCAAAAGACCATTCCGATTGATGCCACAGGCCTTGCACAGGAATCTCCGCTGCTCTGTCCGACACTGCATGGTCAACTGAGCTCTTCCAGACTGCGAGCAGACTGCGTTAGCACAATGCGGCACGCCCCAGATCACTGCCACGGCCGCATTTACGGTGAGAAGTGCGGGCGAGGCTGCAATCTCAAATCGGCTTCAAGCTTCGAGCTCGGGACTTGGACAGCCGCGCAGAAGGGACGTGTCATATGATACATATGGCACAGGAGACGTGAAGGGCAGGCACCCAAGCCTGGCCCTACTGGCGGCCCTACGAGTGGAGAGCCGTGGAGATCCTCTTTTCAAGAGCCTGCGCACCTGGACATGCACATGAGTCAATCCCACCGCACCGCGCGCCAGGGCTTGCTGTGGCTTCGATTCCCCGAAGCTCTGAAAACGAGTCTCTCGCGCGGCATCCGCAGCCCTCGGCACCTGCATTGAAAGCGCTCACATCGGGCGCGGCCAGGCATTGTGATGCATGCCACGACTGGCAGCGCTGGAGGGTCCAGGTTGGGGCCGGGAGAGACTGTTAATTGGCTGGGGAATGCCGGAGCAAATCGTGCAACGTGTGCAGCTATCGCAGGCATAGCATCATCTCGACCGTTTCGAGCGGAGGGGCATGCGAAGGTCACGTTTCCGAATGGGAGAAGCGGCACCGGCAGTTCGAGGGATCCCACGTTGGGCCAAAAGAGAGCCTGTGCGGAAGTAAAGCCAGCAGTCATGGCTTCAACCTAAGAAGCATTCTACAGGCACGTATGACTTGGCGCCAGCAAGGCAGTGTCTTGCTGAGTCTGGGGGCCACAGTG